TGGAAGCAAGAATGGCCAGACTTCATCTCACCTATTTTGGTCATGTTGTAAGAAGGGACCATTCCCTGGAGAAGGATGTCATGCTTGGTAGGGTGGAGAGTCGACGAAAGAGGGGGAGGCCTTCAACAAGATGGATTGACACTGTGGCTGTGATGATGGGCTCAAGTATAGCAGGGATTGTGGGGATGGCACGGGATCGGGCAGTGTTTTGTTCTGCTGTGCATGGGGTCGCTATGAGTCGGAAACGACTCAACGGCACTTAACAACAACAACAACAACTGCTTCTGTGGACCAGATAAGTCTGCTGCTCTGTCTTGTGCCTCTTGATTCCACTGCTGCTGTTTTTCAGCTGGGTGTCTTTATTTCAGTAATAGGTTGGACTCTCAGCCATGCATCTCTCTCAGCCAGCAGTGAGAGCTTTTCCTCCTCTCTGTGCTAACCAGAAGGCTGGCAGTTCAAACCCACCAGCCACTCCTCAGAAGGAAGACTGGCCAATCTACTTCTGTAGAGATACAGCCTTGGAAACCCAAGGGGGGCGGTGTTGCTTTGAGTCGGAACTGACTCAAGGGCAGTTGAGTTTGGTTTGTTTTTTTTTCTGCCTCTAGGAGAGTTCACTTTAAGCCCAGCAGAGTGGCAAAACCAACCAATCCTAACACCAGAATTCCACACACCTGAGAGAGAGCAAACTTCCCAGAAAATTGCTTTGTGCTGCTCACAACAGAAATACCCCAGGTGAATAACTTTAACAATCAGGAGCTACTTAGTTGCACATGGCAGATTTCACCACGGAGTTTACAAAGACTATTGACTCGACAGCAGTGGGTTTGCTTTTCTTTGGTATGGCTACAAAAGCCATACCAAAATTTATTACACTGCAACCTCTATGGTGGAATCTATTGGAGCAGCTGAGTAGCTGCCTTGGGGATGTAGTCTGCTTCTCATATATAAGAAGACAGCTTTGGGGACTTCCAGTAAGATGGAGGAATAGGCAGACAAGCAACCCAGACCCTCTTCAACAAAGAAAAGAAAAACCAATTGACAGAGATACAGAAGATAATCCTGGAACCCTGAGCTTGGAAAGGAAAAATACAGAAGTGGATTAGGCACCAACTAGTGGAAATACCTGAACAAAAACAATGAGTACAGAGACAGTCGGAGCTGCGTACTGTCAGCTACTCTGACGAGACCAACAGCCTGAATATTTCCAAGTGGTGTTGGACCTCAGAATTGACCTAAAGATCAGTCCCAGTCATCGTGGGCTCCAGGGACAAGAGCTTTCATGGCTTATGACTAGAAAGGGAAACAGCAAGGAGGGATACAACCTTAGCTGTGGACTTTCTGCTGTCTGGAGGGTGCAGCCATTTTGGATATTTAAAGTGACCAAGGGCTCAGCCATTTTGATGTTTACAAACGGTGGCCATTTTGAATATTTAAGTGACCGAAGGCGCAACCATTTTGAATGTCTACAAGTGGCAACATTTTGGATTTTAAAGTGATAGCATATTCATTTGGATACCAGGGACCTAAGAACAGGCTCTGTTTGCTAAAGTCAGCAAGGACATACAAGAGGCTGACAAAGGAAAGGAGACAGGTGATGAGTGTATAAGTGCTGTCAACCAGTGAATAGAGGAGCACAGCACAGTACCCTGCCTGTATAGATAACATACAAACAAAACAAAGAAAATGAAAATTGTGGGCAAGTCACTCCAACATATAATCACCAATTAACTATAAACACAAAACATCACAATGCCTCAGAGACAACAGAGCATCACAGTCCACACAA